CCAACAATAAATATGCTAGATTCCTTTTACTAAAAACCACCAGATCTTGTGTAGAGAGAGTATTATATGACACATATCAAGGCCTTAACTAACTAAACTCAGCAGGCCTTAAATTACACCATAGTTGATCTCTCTCCTAAATAAAAAGTAAAATTAATAAAACAGGCCATCCTGCAAAACCAACTCAACTCCCTGATGGCAGTTGTGCTCCAAAACCGTAGGGCACTGGATACTATGACAGCTGGGACACCTCTACACTTCTTTGCCGTGATCACGGTGGGATAACACCTTTGGATCATGGACCCCCTTCCTCCACCCTCTCTTGGGCCCATTATTCATGATAATGATTTTCCTTCTCATAGCACCTTGTATTTTTAAACTGTTTTCAAGATTTTTCCAGTCCAGGATGACTGCTATTGCTGCCAACCAGCTCCTCCTCCTAGCCGAGAGCCCTGGCACCAGCTTCCACATGGGTATAAACTGTCATCCCTAACACAACGATGTCCCCTGTCAGTAGAAAGCAGTCTGAGAGAGTCATCACCCCTTCATAACAACTAAAAGATGAGAATGTTTCTTCTGCACTGAAGATCTAACACTCACAAGATGTAATACTGATATAGGTACAATATAGGACTTCCAAATAATCCAAATAGTTCAAATAATCCAAATAACATGAGGAAAATATCATCCTGACATGCTAGATGTCTGATATGCCAAGTTTGTGTTCCCTAAAATCAAAGGATAAGTTGGAACAATGGAAGTTAAGATTAGGAAGTATTTTTGAGAGGAAGAAAGCTTCTGTCTAAGAGGGACAGAAGGGGATCTGGAGTAGGTGGTCAGGAGAATCCACTTCTAAAGGGAGTTTCATAGAATAAAACCACTAGGTGAAGCAAGTGTAAGGTGGGGCAAAATTATAGTTAACTAATAGGATTACAGGTATAGTCACTCAGGTAATATTTATTCAATGGGAAATCATAAGGTGCCTATGAGGTGGAACAAAACTATGGTCAACCAATGAGTACGGGTATAGTCACTTAGGTAGTATTGATTAAATGGGGATCAAATGGGGAAACAAGTCACAAGGCAAGCTACAGGGGACAAACAAGGACTTTCCTGGGAGTGGGTGGATTAAGGAGATTTTTGTCCTCCACCCCAGGTGATTGATGTCTATGTAGAATATCAATCGCTGCTGTTCATCCCTAGCAGAGGTGAATATGTGTAGTCCTTTCTCTTAATCCTGAGGCCTGACCTTCAGTGAATGTACCTCTAGCCACAATTGACTTCTTGGTTGACCTCTTGAGGGTCCAACCTTTCTGCCTATAATATTTCTAAATAATTTAGCTATCTATAATAACACCACAGACAAAAAACATTCTCCCATATGGGGTTGATTGTGCTGGCCATCAGGGAGCATTTTATCCCATTTGATAGGCTGCACCTACCGTCATTTCTGGTGACTTTTGAAGGTTTTTTTTCTATCCACTTTATAGCTCTTAGCTCTTTAGAGAACGCTGAATTTTTCCTTGAGGGTGGCAAACACACTGTATGATGAACTGCAATGGTGAACTTCTCTATTCTAGCCTTTCCCCTTGAATTTGAGCAGATATGAGTTGCTTCAGCCAGCCAAAGATGGCAAAGGTAAAAGGGATGCCATTGCCATAGTTAAAATATATGATATGGAAAAGGATGTATACTTCAGGGGAGCAGCATTTACCTAGCATGTGTATCACCCTGGACTTAATCCCTAGCACTGACTCAGTTACAGTGTTAGGCAGAAAATTAGTCATTAGCAGGAAAGAGAGAAGAAGCTGGGGGTAATAGTTGAAAAGCAAAGAGTGGGACTTTTTTCTTAGCTTTCTTAATCATTAGCTATACAGAAGATCCACACAAGCTGGTGGTTTCAGACTTTAGCCCAGGAGAATGCAACATGCTCTAAATGTGCTGTTAAAGTCCAGGGACTATATGAAGTTCAGCTCAGTGGTGAGGAACTGGAAAAACCTCAGGTCTCAAACTACATTCTTCCAAGGCATAAACAAGGACCTACTTCTCCCTGTAGTAAGTAGACACAGCCCATTTTATTTGTGCAAGAACACCAGCACAAGGGAAACAAGAGCAATCTGGGGCCCTCGCCTGCTGTTTATTTAAAGTATTGTAGATAGCTAAGTTATTTAGAAATATTACAGGCAGTCAGAGGATTGGACCCTTGAGAGGTCAGCGCAGAAGGCAACTGCAGCTAGAGGTACATTTATTGAAGGTCAGGCCTCAGGACTAAGAGGAAGGACTACACCTACTTACTTCCCCTAGGGATGAGCAGCGACTGATATTCTAAATAGACATTAATCACTTTGGGTAGAGGATCAAAACCTCCTGAATCCACTCGCTTCCAGGAAATTCCTTGTTCATCCCATGTACGCTTGCTATGTGACTTGTTTCCCCATTTGATCCCCATTTAATCAATATTACCTAAGCAACTATATACATACTCCTTAGTTGACCATAGTTTTGTCCTGCCTTACGCATACCTTGTGATTTCCCATTGGGTCAATACTACCTAATATCATTAGTTAACTATAATTTTGTTCCACCTTACACCTGCCTCACTTCATGGTTTTATTGTGCAATACTCTCTTGAGAAATTGGTCCCCCTCCCCTGGCCACCCACTCAGAACCTGGACCTCCTTCTGTTCTTCTTTGACAGAGGCTTTCTTTCTCTCAATAAATACTTACTAGTCTTAACCTGCATCTTTTTCCCACCACATTTTTAGATGGCCTGCTCTGCCTGGATATTCCATTACCTGAAACTGTTCTTCTGAAGACAGTGAAAAAGAAGTAACTGAAATCTTCCTTCCTTCCTTCCTTCCTTCCTTCCTTCCTTCCTTCCTTCCTTCCTTCCTTCCCTTTTCTTCCTCTCTTCCTTCTTTCCTCTTTTTTCAGGCTTGCTTACTTGCAAATTGTGTTCTGTAATTCTCACAAGCATGGTGCCACGTGAGTGCTCAGCAGGGCAACACAATCTGTCATGTAACCTCCTCCTCACAGCACATTCACTGCTCGCTCCACAGAACATTAGCGTGTCCCTGAGTTCCTGTGTGGTGATCTAAGAATTACTCCATGGCAGTAGTTTTGTGGAAGAATATATCTTCCCTCAGGTAGTGCCTATGTGAAAATAAAAGTCACTGGGCATTGACTGCTGGCATCAGGGTAGCTGCCAAACCCTGAGCTGGGGCTGAAGGGGGTCCCTTGTAGCCACCTTAGCTGGGAGCCGGGTGTGCAGGAACCCAGCACCATGGGAGTCCAGGACATTGCAAGAAGTGGCTCCACCCAGCCCCTGCTTCCTGTGGCCACCACCACTGTCACCTATGTCCTCACCTCTGCCTCTGGTGGGCTCCTGGCACTTGGTTCCCATCAGTCCCCATCAGTCACCTTGGCCACCACAAGGTTAAGACCTGCTGTCTTCTGGCAGCACCATGTCACAGTGCCTGGAGTCCATCTACCCTGCTACTCAGCCTATAGCCCTGAGCTGGCACCTGGCTCCAAATCACAGGTCAAACCCAGCGAGCTTGATGCAATATCTCACCCAATTCTTTCATATTTTCATTTTGTTTTCCTTACTGTGGACAGAAGCCTAGGCTTTCCCACTGAGATGGATGCATAGCACTTACGTATTTTGAGCTAGTTTCCCACCTAAGTAACCCAAGTTATGCTAGAACTTACCATTTTCCTGCCTCTGCCCCACTGAGGGTTAGGATTTTAGGTGTGGGATTTTAGTCTGCTCTGTGCCTCATTTAATGTGGTCCTGTGCTATGTAGTCCAACTTACTTGAAAATAAAACAAAAAGTTGCGATTGAAAACAAATCTTCTTACCCAATAGTCCCTAAATTAAATTGGTAGTATTTTGGGGTAAATTTGTTATTGTAATATTTCTCTTGCATTTTGAACTTTCCTGGATCTGTGGGTGCACTGAAAAGAATTTCATTAGACAATAAATCTTCATTTTTGTTTATTTGCAATAAGGTTGCATGAATAAGAGCCCTTGGAGCCCTGACACGTTATACCAGGCCTTATGGCACAGGACTGAAGGATCATTGCAAATTCTATACCAGTTTGGTCCATTTACCAAGACCCTGATTCGAAAACAAATTATCTAAATAAGCTAGCACCAACAAATACACAAACTGCGGCAAAATAAAAGTGGGGGCTGGGAATGTAGCCCATACTTTACACGACCAGAATAAAAACAATAGTTACTTGTTATGGCTTTCCCTCTGGTTTCCTTCGGCAGGAGTGAACATCCTCTTCACCTGGAGACGGACCTGTCACCCTACCAGGCCACACATCTACAAGTGTCTCTATTCCTTCTTTTGAGGGTATATTTACCCTGTGACTATCCCAACATTGTAATTTAGAAGTGTATTACTTTCTGTGTGTGTGTGTGCATGTGTGTGTGTGTGTGTGTGTGTGTGTGTGTGTGTACATGCACGCACTGTTGGGGATTCAGGCCAGGGTCTTTCACATGCTATCCAAGTGTACCACTAAGTTACATCCTTAACTGTAATAATTTACATCTGGGTGTCTCCTAAGGGTCCCATGCACTCACAGGTGAGGCTTTTGGAAGGTGATCGGATAACGGGGACTTATTGATGGTTTGGTTTAGGAGGTAGGGTCTGGTCAGAAGAGGCAGGCACTAGGGGCATGGCCTGGAAGGATTTAGCTCCCTCCCTGGCTTTTCCCTTGATTTCCCAATCTCCCCATCACTATGATATGAGGATCTCTCCTCTTTTTCACCCCTCTGCCATGCTGCCCTGCCTTGGAGTCAGCCAACTATGGACTGAAACCCTACAAACTGTGAGCAAAATTATACCTCTCCTCCTTTAAACTGTAGATGTTGGGCCTTATGGTGTGCAGGGGTGTGTGTGTATGGCACAGTAGCTCCGCAGCTCTGCTGTCTGAGCAGCTCACCGAGATCATAAAATCAGCACCAGTAAAAAATTAAAGATACAACATTTAAAGAAGGAAAGACACTTTATTGAAAAAGAGGAAAAAGGACAGGGTAGATAGCTACCCTGATAAATTGAGGAAGGGGGCTCCAGAGAGGTGGAACACCCATGGCTCCTGTGACCCCAGCTATTTTATTACCTGGGACTTGCCATACATGACTGGTTCCCTAGGATATCACACATGGATCTCAGGCCCCAATACCTTAACCCCCATGCCACTGTCTATGTGCACACTCCTATGTGGTCCTTCTTGTCCTGATCTCTGCAATGTATGGGTTGTTTAGAAGAGGCTTTACACCCAAGGTGGAGCTAGCAAGTCAGTAAGGAGCTAGTGCACCAAAACAGTGATCCTAGAGTGGGAGTACAATGCAACATGAGAGAAAATTAGCATATAAAATAATTTCTCCTCAGGGCTGGAGATGTAGCTCAGTGGGACAGCACTTGCCTGGCATAGGATGAAGGATAACAAGGCCATAGGATCAATCCCCCGCAACACAAAAAACATATGAACAAAATCTTTCCTTTAAAAAGTCTGCAAAAAGACTATAATCTCCATAAATGAATGAATTACTGTATTTCACTGAATCTGAACTAGCTTGTGAAATGCAACTTTATTTTATATATGTATATGGGAAATAATTCTGTCACAATATTAAGCAATCACTGATTGTAGAAATGTGCAGACTTCAAAGGCATTAAATGTGTGGAGAAAAGATATATCTTAGGATCAATAAAATTCAGCAGGAAAAATTATTCTTCATAAATGTATCCAAATAAAATGTCAAACACTAAGTGTATTTAATTGGCACATAATCTGTAGCACATTCTAAAGTATTTATCATGTTTGAAATGGGTGGGCTGGCACTTAAATTAATTCCTAGGATATATCTTGCACAAACTTTAAAACTTAAGGGTTTTCAATTTGGAAATTATCCATTTTCATTTGTAGAATCACAGAATAGGAGAAGATATAAGTGAGGCCTATGTAAAGTGCCTCAGCGGAGAGCAGGGTGGCCGAGCCAAGGATTGAAGCCAGAATTTGGGGGCTCTGTTCTGTGTTCTCTTCATAGCAGTAAAAGATCAAGAGTCATTAACATTCTGTGGTCCGTGCCTATAGATAAGATAAAGCAATCAATAAAAAATTTACATATTTAGAAGGGTGGTCTTTTGTAAAACTATGCTCCTCAACTTCCCAGGTAGCATATGGGTGCCTGATAATTTGCTCAATAAATCCACCGAATACTCCATGAGTGTACTCTATTAGATACTACCTAATTTCTCAAAAAAAAAAAAAATGCTTTCTTTGCATGTCTTTTAAGGTGGAAGACAAAAACATGTCCTAATCACCCTAATGACAAATACGAGTCTCATAAAGATCTTTCCATATGAGACAACTTGGCAGTTTATGGAAGACTCTGGGAATCACAGAACATTTCAAAACTGTTCAGCATTTTCTACACATGGACCTAGAAACCTTGATCTCCAAATCATGCTGAAAATCTATCAATGCTGTGCTCTGACCGGCCTCTTCAATAGTGGTGATAATTCAAGGAGAGTGAGTAATCCATCTTCTCTAAGTACTTTTGTCCTAGCTTCTGGCAAACTACTTCATAGGGGAATTGCTACTATCAAATGGAGAAGACTCAAATGTTAATGCATCTGAGAGAAATTCATTAGAGACTTCAGCTGTTTTCTCTATCAAAATATTTCTACTGAGACAGATGGACTGCTTCGAGTTTGAGGACAGTCTAGAAGACATAGTGAGAATCTGTCTCAAAAAACCAAACAAATCAAAACTATATCCCTCCTTATAGAGTGCTCCATTGTATCATTCATTTCAACCACTCCAAAATCCATTAATTCTATTCTTCTGCATCCATTCCTCCATTCTCTTCTTCTTCATAGCCTAGAACTAGAGGACAAAGCTTTCTGGTCCTCATTCTTTCTGTTTTCTTTCTGCTGGCGATCCAGAGGCAAGGTGGCTAACTTATACATCACAGGAAATAATACAGCAGTGAATATTGCTGACCCCAAACACGTGTACAGAACTACTGGCAAATCTGGGTATTGTCCCTGGAGAATTCCAATGACTGCAGGAATAGCCATGTCTCCCAGACAAGCACCAATGACAAAAAAGGCCGCAGATTTCCCACTTATGGTCGTGTACTGCTCAAGCCAAGAAATACCACTGGGAAAGGTGGTGGCCATTGAGGCCCCATACACAGAACTCCCTATCCAGAGACAAAGTGGGCTCTTGTCAAAAAGCACCAGGAATAAAGATGAGACCACGCTGCCAATGTTGCTCAGCACAATCATGGTCCCAGGCTGTAAACATGCAGCAAAGAAGATTGCCAGGCCCCTGCAGGCTGCAAAGGTCCCCCAGAAGATGGAGTTCAAGCCGGCGGCTTCGCTTTCCTCCAGGCCAACGTGGGTGGTGGCAAAGGAGAAAATGTAAGAGCCATAGGTTATCTCAGCTCCAACGTAAAAAAAGAAGAACAGAAAAAGGAGGCAGAGCAGGGCCTTGTGATGTTTAGCTCTTCGAGATTCCTGAGCAGACGCTGCTGACTTTTCGTGCTTCGAGGTTTTCTTGAAAAACAGAGCAAACAGGAAGACAGAAACTACAAAGATGTAAGTGCCGACGGAAGCATAAGCCCACAGTAAGTTCAAGTCATCAGGTGCTGCAAACAGAAGGTCTGGGTCGGCTTCAGGTGATCGGTTGAGGGCTGGATGGTGAAGGTCAGGCTCTGTGTGGTTTTCAGCTGACACGGTCGTCCCCAAGGCCAATTTTGCCAGAAGGGGAACCAAAAAGGCACCCAAGGCAAAACTGAAGTGTAAAGCCTGCATATGTGGGGCTCCCTTGTCTCCCCACAGAGCCAGGATAAGGACGTTGGCACCTACCAATCAAAGATGCAGGAAATGATCAAAGTTACACACAGTATCTTAGTAAAAACAAAAAAAAAAACAAAACTAGTTCATTGCTATCAGAGGAAGGGTGAGTCTGTATTACATAGCTGCTGTTTGTGATAGCCTCAGTTATCAAACATTGCATCTGATTCAATTCTGTGATTAGGGAATTCTAACCTGCTGTCACCAGAGAACTATGCATCATAACATCTCATCATGTATGGAATCCTATTAGTGGTGAACGGCTGCCTCTCAGAGCAGCCACATTCGCAATTTTTTTTCTTTAACACTAGGGATTGTATCCAAGGGGCACTGAGGCAGATGCCTGGCCCATTTTTCATTTTTTACTTTGAGATAGTGTCTCACTAATTTTCCCAGGTTTCCTTCACTTGTATCTTTCTGCCTCAGTCTACTGAGGCGAAGGCTTTCTATAAAACAGTGTTAACATGAGTGGGGAATAATATTTATAGACAGTTTAGCATCAGATAGCACCAAATTACCAAAGCTTTCTCTACTTACACTTGGTAGTCACTTAAAGAACATTCTCTATCTCTATTGCTATCATCTCTATGTATCTCTATCTCTCTATCTTTATCTCTATCTATTGCTATCTCTACCTCTACATCTATCTATCACCTATCTACCTATCTATCTATCTGTGATTAAATAGAAGCGAAACTTACATTCAGGACCCTGAATATGCCAGGATCCTGCTGTGCCTAAAGTAGATATAAGAACCTTTTAGTACAGTATCTGCCTTACATTGTCTCAACACCTCAAGGTGAAAGGCCAGAGCATTAAGTTTTCAGCTATCCTATTTAAAAATAAAATTTTCAAGTAAACATATAATTCTGGTTGGGTGTGGTGGTGCATGCCTGTAATCCCAGCATTTGTGAGTCTGAGGCAGGAGGATCGCCTTGAATTTAAGGCCATCCTGGACTACATAAGCAAGTTCAAGGCCAGCCTGCACTTCACAGCCAGACCTTATCTCAAACAAAACAAAACAAAAATATATAATTCTGAGGTGTGCATGGTGATACATGTCTGTACTCCCAGAACTCAAGAGGCTATGGCAGGAAGATCATGAATTTGAGGCTGGGTTGAGCTATGCAGGGAGATCCTGTCTCATAACACTAATATGTATTAATAAAATTCCACACTGTAATTTTACAAACAAACTCAACCTAAACAGTAAAATATTTTCTCAAATCTATCAAGTAACATTAGAGCAGGGAAATAGGGTACAGAAAGCTGGCTTTGGAGGCAAAGAAATATCGTATATGTTACTTGGTAGGTTTTCAAGGGCATGAGGGCCCATGGGAAGCTCTGCTGTAGTAAGGCAGGAACATGTGAGAGACTGAAGAACAGAATGGGAAGGAAAGTAGTACACACACAGGTTTCTCTTCACTCAACAAGGTTACATTTTTGATTGGATGTTTGTATCTATGCTGTCACAGCCAAATGATGGTTCCAAACTTGTTTTAGCTCATTAAACCAGTTCATCTTTCTCACTAAATCCATCCCATGATAAAATTCCCTTTTGAAATGAAAGCCTGCTCGCATGTACTGTAATTACCCACAGGAGGGGTCCTTCTTTGTGTTGACGCTATCAATCAACCATCTCCCATAAAACAAAATCCCTCACGGTCACTTCATAGTTGGCTGCTCAAAACCTGGTGCTCTGGTTGGCAAGAAGAGGAAGGGTGGCTCCCATGGGGTGACCCATGAACAGCACCGTAAGTCCATGTCAAGAGACAAGTGACAGTTTAATGTCAGCTGCCCTTCACTCCCAGTAGAAAGTCTGCACAACCAGAGGTGACAATGGAGGTTCACTGACCTGTATCCAGAACACCAACTGCAGCGCCGAAGACAGACATCACAATGATCAGTAATGCTGCTGTCTTGCAGAAAGGAATGAGGTAGAGGCCAGCTGAGGTAGCCAACATTGACAACCCTGAGAAGAAAAGGTGAAAGTCGGCTATAAAAACAGTACTCATTAGGGTCATAGGTCAGGTCAATAAACTCTAAAATGCCAAATAAAGTGTAACTAAAGCTGGGTTTTCATGAGAAGGTAAGAGTTTCAGCTGCTGCAAGTTGTTACATCATCTAAATCTTATATAAGCCTTATGAACTATAAAATATAGTATTACAAATTACTATAAAATACCAGACAATTCTAGCACTATGAACTCTAACTGCAAAGAAGCTTTTTAGCATAACAGGAAACATTTATTCACTTAAATGTTTCACATACGAAAGCCACAGACCCTGGACAAGCTCCAGGAGCTCACTCTGATGGCTATGACCTGAGATCTGCCCTCCACCCTCCTAAACAGAGCTTGGGCTCTCCGGTGTGTGGCCCTGGAGTGGTGTGCTAACTGCCATGAAGGTTGAGAAAGCTCAGGATTGCGCGCACACACCCACAGAACTGTTTCCAGAGGGCCCAGCACGGATTCCCCCTCACTGCCAAGGCAAGAGACAGCAGGGAGCCCAGCCTCGTGGAAGACACCTAACATACGCATTTCAGTTGTCAGCCATTCTGCAGGCTGCTGTTTTTCATACGTACAGTCATATTGTAAATACAGTTACAGTCACAAAGAAGAAAAAAGTCAGTGTTTTCTTACCCAAAAGTAAAACATGATTCATGTATTCAAAAAGAATACCACCAATCATAGAGCCACACAAGACTCCAGAGGCTCGGCCCACAAAAATTAGAGAAAGACTGCTGATATTTCGGTTTACATTTGTTGCCAGATCTTGAAACGTGGGTCCCAGAATACCGACACTCATTCCCTAAAATTTAGAAAGACAAAATCTTTTTACTTACAACTGTTAAAGTGATGTCTATGTAAGTGGTAGCTTTTTCCACCATAAAAAATTGCAAGAGGGGATTAAAATGTAATATAGGGGATTACTGTAAGTCCTGCAGTCAGGAAAAATGTACAGTGATAATGTATTGTTTCTAGACAGGCAGAGTCCCATGGTTTCTTTTAGCCACAACTCTCAATTTTTCTAAAATTATTGAATTCTTTTGCCTTTCTTTGTTATTCTTTTCCTTTGTGAACAATGCCTTAAAAGGATCTGGTGTCTTAAAAGTTAATAAGCTAGGTATGGTGGCACATGCTTGTAATCCTGATATGGGAAAAAAAACTAAACCAAATCCATTTTGTGTTTTAGTGCATTTTAAAGCTTAAGTTTCTGTTTCCTTAAATTTGTTTCTGGTAAATGCTGTCATAGTTACCTATCCCAGTACCACCCCATGCTCTGTCATAAGACTGCTTGTCCACTATGTAAAATGTCAAACACCTTTGTTCCTTTGTCACAAGCTAAGCCCATGCTTTGTAGTATTTCTGTAGCTGCACTAAATCATATAGCACCACCCCTCATAGACCTGGAAATAGACCTAGAACTAGACCTGGAACTAGAACTGTGTAACTATTCTCCCCTCCTGCCCTTTGGGGTCGGTGCTTGGTCATACACTGGGTGCCCACTGCCGGCCCCCAATAAACTTGCTTGTCTCTGCATCTGGCCTCCGCAGGTGACTCAATTAAATAAGCACCTTTGCCACAATAATCCCAGCACTTGGGAGGCTGATACAGCAGGATCGCTGCAAGTTTGAGGCCAGTCTGGGTTACTTAGTGAGTTCAAGCCCAGCCTGAACTATACAGCGAGACCCTATCTCAAAAAAAAAAAGTTGCTAAAATGCAACATTAAAAGTATTGTTGAAAGAGTTGAATATTTCAAAGTATATTACACACGTTAACATGAGAACTTGGATGTTAAAAATTTAAATTATCAAAATATTATCCTCATTTTTTAAGTTAAATAGGTAAATTTCAGGTACACATGTGGTCCTTTCTCTAAAGCACACATATATGATCTGCAGGAAAGAAACACTTGAAGATTTTCTAAAGCTACATTTCTCTTCAAAAATCTCAAAGCCATCAGGAGTTTGGTCTTTAAGGCTTCTGTGGAAAATATTACATACACAAGCATAGAATTAATTTGAAATGAAATGTTACTCAAAGACAATATATTATCTTCTGTATGGTGTAAGATAAATTGAGTCTAAAGCAGTCTCACATGTACCAAAGTGCAATTTACCTTAATATATCAACAAACTACAACCTAATGAAGATTATATTCCTAGTGTTCATTAGAAACTAAGGTCAATAAGGTAAGAATTCAAATTAGTGCATGCAATTAGTGTATGTAATTACCAGAAACAAGAACAGGAAAACCCTTTATGTAACTAGAGGAGGAAGATAAGATATGCATTTGGGAAGGAAAAGCTATACTGTATGAATTATTTTTTTTCTATTGGAAAAAGAGAGCAATCTCTGTCCTAAAATAGAACGACTGGGTATTCTAAACCACGAATATGAAAAATACAGGACACATCTGAATAGATAAGAATATTGTCAAAGTTGTATGAAAGATGAATTCTGTGAATGGAATTTTATGGGTAATGATGACAGATAAGACTAGAAGAGAATTACGTAGAAGGTTTGATAAAAATTGAGCATTAATATCTAAAATGCACTGTAAACAAGGAGTTTTGACTATTTATTGGCTGACTGATAGGAACTTCTGAAGAATTTTTGCATACATTTGAAGTCACTGAACTAGGAAACAAAGATTCTCTTTTCCAAGGTAATTTTCTGTGCTCATGTTGTCTTTATTAGGTTTTTTTGTCACTTAAGAAAACTGAGTCTGTTCTATTAAAAGAACTAAGGTTTTTCAATAACTATGCAATTTTCTGTATTGGCCTTTAAAGTTTTAATATCACTTTGGTCACATGAAGGACTATTCTTTAAAATGCTCTGTGATCTTATTATGGATCAGTGTTTTAAACCTTTGGTATTTTAAGAAAACTCCCAAAATGAAACTCTAAAGTTTTTTTTCTTAACCTTGAATTAATTTGGGGATTTTCCAGATGAGCCCTTTGAATATCTCAAGAGGATATCTCTCTTTAAAAGAAGAGACTGACTTTAATTGGGTTTGATATATTAAATTATGTGGGAAGCATTTTCAAATAATAAGTAATGATAAACTTCTGAGTTATATTTGTATGTATGCTATTAATATGTGTTTTAGAAATTGAATGAAGAAATTTAACAGTCCTAGGATAACATCACCAGTCAAAATTCTAATTATTAACTTTATGTGTTGTATGTAAGAGCACGGCAGAGTGACACCACCTGTAATCCCAGTACTGAGGAGGCTGAGACAGGAAGATGGCAAGTTAGAAGCTATTCTGGGCTACACAGAAAGATCCTATCTCAAAAGGAAAAGAAATGGCCCTGTCTCATTTTTTAAAAAAGTATACAACAGAAACGACCACATTTTCTTGTCCGTTACATCACTGTTATCATGAACTCTCCTCAGATCTTTAACCAGGGCCCTTTGAAGTCTTGTCCCTCACAGGCAGGTCAGTATTTCATCTGTTACGTAGCTGAGCCACCATCATTTGGGTGTTCAGGAACGTCCATGGAAAGGACTCTGTCAAGAGCGGGTTTCAGAAAACAGGATCACTCCATTGGACTGAGTAAGAATTCTCAGTAAACAAACTGACTGGCTTGTAAATCTCAAGCTGATGTTTAACCCAAATTCAAGCACAACAACAATTAATTATATACTAAGGAAATGACTTGCAGGTTTTCCTGCTAAGTCAGCCAGTGAGGAAATTGTTGAGATACGCAATTTGGATGACCTCTGTAAGATTGATGCTGCTTGAATTACTTATAATAACCTATTTAATAAACAGTGCTATGCATGTCAACTAGACAATGTCACTGTTACTACAAGAATGTAAATCCATTGCTAAGCTTGGGCAGCTGCCCGCCTGCTTCTTGCTGAGTCTTTCAAGCTTCCGTTATTAAAAGTGCTGCGCTCCCAGCCGGGCTTAGTGGTATGCACCTGGATTCCAGCTACTTTGGGAGACAGACAGAATTTCTAAGCCTGTCTCAAAATAAAAATAAAAAGGGGCTGGAGACGTAGCTCAGCACTCCCTGGGTTCAGTCCAAGCACCACACACATACACACACAGCTCTGCACTCTAAGATGTATCATGAAATAGATAAAATAATTCCAAATTAAAAGAAAATTTTGAGACAGTAAATGTGTTTGAATTGAAAAACATCTCAACCGATTTTTGGATTGTCAAACTCAATATGGGTAAGAGAAAAAACTTAAAGGGGATCTCACCAGACTCCTGAAACTATACCCCTGTTGGGGACCTTATGGTTAAGGCTACCAAGGATGTTTCTCTCCAGCCTCAATATGGAGATCTTCCCCAAGATCAGGGATTATGATTTCTCTCCCATCTCAAAATCCTTATCTCCTTCCTCCATTTCCTGCCATCCTAATCTCTTCCCTACCATTTTTGTAAAATAGATAGGGTCATACTTTGTGGATGACTTGAGCAAAAGCTTATGCCACAGCAAAAAGCCAGAGGACTTGTGGGTTTGCGTCCAACATCCTCAGACCAGGAAACAGCTCCACTACTGCCGGTGCTGTTCCATGTTCCCACCCAGCCCCCTTGAAGCCCCAAAGGAAGAGTGGAAAGCTCTCTGCTCTCTCTGTAAATAGTATCCTGACTTTTCCAATTAATAACTTGACCATAGCCAAATAGAGAAAAGCTATATGAGAAAAGCAGTCTGCAAAAACAGTATTATGCCTACGTAAAACCTGGGGATTACATACTTGGCCACTAGCAATTGTTTGTATGATGTCACTGCTTTAAAATCAGTAAGAGCCCTTCCTCTAAATGACTATGCATTCTTCCATCATGCAGTAATGGGTGGGACCCCAAAAATAGACTCACGATGTGCCTTGCTCAGTGCTGTGCACACTTGCCAGTAAACAAATGTAACTGACTTCTACTTGGCTGCCAGTAGGCGACCCTCTTTTCCAGCCCCCAAGGGCCTATGCTGAGGCTGGAGAATTTGTCTGCACTGTTATGATGCCTCACTGGTTCAGATCTTGCTCTCTGGATTAGCTCACCCCGCCTTCTGAATAGCTTTCCCTAAAAGTTCCCATCCCACCCATATTCAGAGGCCAAAGCACTCATTATCCACAATTACATCTACCTTGAAGTAGAGAAAGATGAATCAGCTTCCCCCAAGAGAACTTCCTTCCTAATAGGGTTTTTGTGTGTTCACTCTTGGCAGCAGCAGGGGCCAGTTGCATGGAATTTGAAGCTAACATATTAGCTAGCAATTTTGGATTTGGTAATGAGTAAGACTTCCTAGGAATTCAGAAGAGGAGAAGTCACTCTCTCACACATAAGTGAGAAGATTCATTTTCAACCAAAACTCTTAGACCAAAATTTAGCTTTACATGCCTTCCTTGCCCATGCTGGGGGGTTAGTGCATAGCACTGAATGAAAGCGAATGCTGTGCTTAAATTTCCCTTCATTTCACAGCTACAGAAAGAGTAATGTAAAAGGTAGCTGAGCAGCTGGGGGTGGAGCTCAGTTGGCAGAGCATGTGCTGGCATGCACAAGGCCATAGGCTCAAACCCCAGCCTGAAAAGACAAAGCAATGTACAAGAAATGGCTGACATTAGTGAGGTTTTGCTACCCACCACTGAACACATTAAGGAAAGTTCGGCGGAGAGGAGGGAGAGCACATGATGTGGTCACAGAAACAACCAACAGGTTTGCAAGCATCCTGAGGGGTGGGTGGCAGGCCAGGTGGTTCCAAGGTTTTCCAATCTTCATGCTTAGTGGGTCTCCAGGTTCCTGTGACTTGTGACACAAGTCTAACTGCACACATGGTTATCCGTTTGGATCAAGTGTTTTATAGCCACCCACGGTCCTCAGTCAACATCACTGGCTGAACAAAGACTATGACCAGTTGGGCTAAATACTGTTGAGCACTCTTTATTGTGAAAACTTTGAATGGCTTGGTTTTAGCAGTTTGGTTCAGGAAGACACCGGTTAAGGGTGTTCTTTAGCTTCTGGATATTACCGATATACCAAGATATCAGTAATGCAGCATCCCCCAGTAGCCATCCTCAAGTCTCCCCAGTGTGCTGTATGCCCTGGAGTCCTAAGCGTTCCTGTGCAGTCATCCTGTGTGCACCAAACACAACAGAAACACGAAGCACCAAGAATCACCCAAATCATGTCTCATTGTCAGTTGTGAACTACACAATTAGACCCTCTCAGTTATTTATGATGCTGACAGAAAGGGTCAGTGTCCAAGATTCCAGTGAACCTCTCAAAATGGAGAGGCTGACCACAAGTAGGGAACTGTTACATTAAACCTAGCCTGGGGGCTGGGGATTTAGCTCAGCGGCACAGCACCTGCCTGGCAAGTGCAAGGTCATGAGTTTGATTCCCGGTACCAGGGAAAAAAACAAAAAACAAAACAAAACAGGTAAACCTAGCCTGAATCTGTCTGTGGACAAGGGGAACTGTAACCTACCTCAGCACTGCAATCTGCCTGTTTGTAGAACAAGTAGCTCAGCAGCCAGAGGTTCAGGCAATCACAGGCAGACGCAGCTCATAAATGTGCAAAGAAGACGAATGAGCTGTAACTGGTCAAGGTATTTCTGCAGGCCATTTTCTTGTTCTGTGTCTAGATACTGCCTGTCAGTTCCTGTGTGGAATTCTGTGAACCTTTAACTGTTTCAGTTTCTTAGTCACTTCTTTCTTGAAAAAAGTGCTAAAATTAACTTTTTAATAGATGTCAGCAAGAAGCAAGCAGTCATTGGCTTTCAGGGGAAGTTCCTTGGACCCTTCGAGAAAAAAATGTTTCTAATTCAGAACTGCACTGCAGCGCTCTAAATGTACTGTGTGCCTCTAGCTCCAACAGGAGCTGTCCAAGGATGAGCACCTGGGTTAGCAGAGGCACAGCAAGTCTGTTAACCTTGCAGTGCTCTGCTTTAAGCAGCAAAGCTGCCTTTGGACAAGCAGGAGCAGCTCAGGACTCAGGCTCAGGGTGTGTATAAGCCCACAGCAAGCATCAGGTACAAGGAAGGAAGGGTAAGCAATGACTAATTTATTACTTTATGCCTTTGAGAGACTTGTAAGACCTGGCAGAGCGAGATCACCAAGCACTTGCAATGAATTACTTCTTACTCACCCCTCTCCCATGCTGCCTCCAGCCACCAAAACATTCTAAGAAACAAGGTGGCTCTGACGGGGAGGCTAAGTGACCCAAAGTAACTCTCTGAGAGGAACTCACACTCTCAGCTCCCAGGATCTCAACTGCCAAGTGTTCTTATTTGTGAGAGAGATTTCCACAAATATGGAATTGAGGGGAAGCCCAGTAGCTTGGGGCAAAAGACACTTCTAGCCATGCACACTTAAGGCTCTGCAGGCTCCATTAATACAGGTTTGTGGGCAGAGTAACAGGTGTTCCTGGCTCTACCACTTAATCAGTAGTTTGATTTGGAAAAGTCACTTTCCTCTCTCGACCAATTTTCTAGCTACAAGATCAGGTAGCTGGCTGAATTTGAATTCAGTGGCTTGGCCACTAGAAACAGGAAATCCCAGAAAAATCATTCTTCTGTGTAGTAATTTGCCATGCGGTAGCGCAGCGGCTAAAGGCCTGGGCAACCCTTTCTTGTATCTCCCCAAAGCACCAAGGAGACAGGAAAATTGCTGCAGCAGGAAAACATACTGTACTAGGAAAATCAACTTCCCACTTGACAGTTGCCCTCCGTGATTATGACTGTGCCCGCGTGTTAGATGAGGAAACCGAGGCCCGGGCAGATTAGTTAATGACCCAAGGTGACCGTGTGCAGGGGGCCAACTCGAGACTCCGACTGGGAAGGCCACGTTCTCTGCAGAGAACTCTCGGGCCCGGGAGGGTTGCAGCCCAGCTCTCACCAGCCCCAGGAAGGCGGCATACAGGACCGCGGTGGTGAACCAGCGCAGCGCGCTCCCTGTCCGGGGCACCGCCACCGCCTTCGGCTCAGGCTCCGCGGCTGCGGCATCGTGGTGTCGCGGAGCAGCAGGCGGGGGCCCGGCCCCACCGAACTCCGTTTCCAGCTCCAGCGAGGCGGCGGCGGGGAGGCGGCGGTGCATCTGCCGAGATTTTCTTCGCCGGACCCTGTGGAGGTCGAGCCCTGCTCCTCCCCGGCCCGCAGGTCCCTCCCGGCGCTGCCTCCCCAGGGAAGTGCTGCATCCCGGCCTGGTCAGGGCGGACTTCGGACCGCACGTGCGCCGCGGGAGAGGACGCGCGCTCCATCCGGGAAAGGCCCGCGCAGGTCACGTGATAGAAGCCGAGCTCTGCGTTTACTGGGACGGCTCTTTAACCCGGAAGCTAACATGGTTGCCCAGGAGACCACAAAGGTCTCAGGCACCGCATCACTAAGGCCAGCGAGGTCAGTGCAGCGGTGTTCGGTGGCTAAATAAGCAGGAGCTGCAGCCTCGGAGCAAACGGATTGAGGGATGAAGTCCCTAGACCGTTAAGAGGAAGAGTTAGTTAATGACCCAAGGTGACCGTGTGCAGGGGGCCAACTGCAGGGTGGAACCTCGCGCGCTGGGGAGATGGGACCCGGAAGGTGTTGCCCTTCGAACCTTTCCCAGCTTCCTGCCCTTATGCTTCCATGTCTGAGGTTTCTTGATCAGTCGAGAACTTCACTTCAGAAATATTTTTTAACCTCAAGGGTAAGCTTTGATGGTTAACCTCTCCATTAATCCTCAGAACTACACTCAGAACACCATTTTAGCCTCATTTCCAAATAGAAAGATTAAGACATAGAAAATAAACATCTGTCCCCAGAGCAGTCAGGGAATCACTGGCCATACATAGAGTGTACAGACTCGTAGGGGAGACTGATGTTAAACCTATGATCACACGAAAGGTATAGAGTTTAATAAATGTGCTGAGGACAATGAAAGAAAATAGTCTGCCATCTATAAGAACCCATCTTAGTTTTGGGTGTTTGGGAAGGTATTTTTGAGAAATGTTTTGTGTGGTTGAAATAAGAGGTAGATAAAAGAGAATAAAAAGTGATGTGTGGACGATTGGTAGGTTGTGAAGAGCTTGAGCCACACAAATAAGTTGGGGCTTAACTCCTGTTAGCATACTTAGATGTAATACAACCAAAAATGGTCTCTAGAAATATCAAGATGCATTATAGCTCGTCTTTTTCACTTAAAACTGAGCTCATTATCTTCAATAATGCAGTTCCCTCATCTGTGGTATTTTCTGTTTTTACCTGTGAAGCATCTGAGATCCAGTTGGAATGCTCCTCTGTCTCCTCAATTTATCATCAAGTCCTGCTAATATATATATATATATATATATATACACAAAATATAATATATTGTAATATATTATAATATATAATATATTATAATAATATAATATATATTATATATATTTCAAAAGATAAAATTAACACAAATTTTAAGATCTCACATTCTGGTTTGAGGGTGAGGGTTTTATGTGGTCTTGGAGGTGTCCTCCAGACAGATGAGACTGTGTATTCCTAGTGTCTTGTCAGGTTACCCTTAATGGGCTAGGTTAAAATGCAAATTATTTGCATGTGTTCAAAGTTAACAGATATGGTACCCACTTATTAGTATACTATTTTCTTGAAGGTAAAAGTTCGTGGGATTAATGAATCTATAGATAGTATTGGAGGAAAAGTGAAGGTAGCACTCCAAAAATTCCTAAGAGCCTTAAAGATACAATAAATATGTAAATCCCCACCTTCTTTATTCCCCTGTAGGTAAGGTCCATGTTTTTCACATGTAAGTTGAGCCTTCACTTTTCCTCCAATACTATCTATAGATTCATTAATCCCACAAACTTTTACCTTCAAGAAAATAGTACTACTAATAAGTGGGTACCATATCTGTAAACTCTGAACACATGCAAATAATTTGCATTTTAACCTAGCCCATTAAGGGTAACCTGACAAGACACTAGGAATACACAGTCTCATCTGTCTGGAGGACACCTCCAAGACCACATAAAACCCTCACCCTCAAACCAGAATGTGCTTCTCTCCATACTCCCTTCTGAGTGTTCACTGCTTTCTGACTAATACATCTATATTATGGTTTGTGTCTAGATGTCTCCCTAAAGCCTCATGGGGCAAGCATTTAGACTTTATGATTAATTCATGGGTGTGAGTGCTACACCTGCCCTGGGGTGGATAGTTTGCATATGTAAGGGAGAGAAAGAGGCCGTTTGCTGCCACTCCTCCTCCCTTTTGCTCTTGTTGCTTTGCTGTTTTCCACTGACGTGAACTGTTGCCCTCTGCCATGTGCCACTCTGCCTTGGAGCCAGCTGAGTGTGGATTGAAACCTCCACGAACTGTGAGCCAAATAACCTTTCCTTCCTTAATTTTGGGCATCAGGTATTTTGTCTCAGCAGTGAGAGAAAAGTAACCAACACAGTCTATTAATGCCTCTCCCTGACACAACTTAAAAAAATTTTTTTTTCTGTGACAAAAGTTGGGAAACTTAATACCTAGTCTGTGGGTGGGGTGAGTTGAGATCCTCATCTCCTCTTCTGGGGGACTTTGTGGACTCTGTCCTTTTATAGATGATCAGGGGCTGAAGGAAGCAGAAATAGGAAAGGAAAATGGACTGTTTACTTCAAAGTTACTTCCACTAGAGGATTAAAATAGGGGGGGGACTTCCTTATCATGCTTTTTCAGGTAAAGTGGGCTCCTGATTAGTTGCTATGAATCTCTGTTTTGAAAAACTGTCCCATTTCCAAGTTCAGTTTGATTATGTGCTGCTTGACAGGAATGACTCTGTTCTGGTTTGGTATGATCTGTTGGTCTAGGGCAGAGATTTGATCCAAAACTACAGCCTCCCACAAATTTCATTGAATACATGAGTCAGTATAATTATTGCAACCCACATTTAAACCTTTACCACTTTTGCTACAATTGTTGCCCCATTTTTCTAGTCAGCTTCCTTCCTGTTAGCACTCTGTTCTCCAAATCAATCTTTCACCACTAAGAATCTTAACTGACATGCAAATCTACTCCTTAAAACCCTTCAAGTCTTCAGAATAAAATCCAACTTCACTTGTCCCCGCCCACCTTCTTTACTTCATTTCTTACTCATCATTATTCATGTTCCAACAACATCACAATTGCTGTGTGTTCTTTACATACCACATTTGTTTCTCTTACTTTTGATCACACTGTCCCTCTCTGTCTAAAATACTCCCTGCTTTGTTCATGTTCTGTGGTAGAGATTGCTAGCTATTTGCTGAAGTCATTTGCCCTTTCTGAAGTAATGAGGTATAATCTAGTGCATGGGGTCTAACTCCACTACATTTTTCAGTTTAATGTGCAACTACAGGTGCCAGCAAAGTATGAGCAGAAGGTTCCAGGGGCCTTAAGAGATTGGATGTCCTTCCTCCATGCTTTCTTCCTTCTCCTCCAGCTGAAGCTTGGACATGACTGCGACATAGTCTCAGCTATAAGATGATAACAAAGCTGTACCAGACCGCTGAGCCATAAAATGGAAGGAGTCTGCTCCTGAATGATGACTGGAGCACAACCTCCTGCCAACCTGGAATGATTTCTGCTGTTAGGTGACGGGGGAAAAATGAATTTTTGTTTACAGTAGCTTAGTCTCCTGGAAGTAATACCATCTGCCTTATTTATGCCTTTTTGACAATCATATACAGGATTAAGGAATTTCAGAGTAAATTTAATCTTTGTTTTGTTTTGCTTTTGATTATAGGGAATGAGCCCAAGGCCTTTAGACTGAACTACCCAACCTTTTAAAAACTTTTTTCTTTTGAGATAGGGTTTTGCTAAGTCACTAAATTGGCTAGGCTGGTCTCAAACTTGAGATCCTCCTGCCTCAGTCTCCCAGAGTGCAGGGATTACAGGCCTGTGCCACCAAGCCCAGTTCATATGTAATTTTTATCTTTGATGGTACTCTCTATTGCAATGCATCCTTTTTGCTAATAGAACTGTTATATAGTACTTGGTCATGGTGGCACACACTTTTAATCCCAGCACTTGGAAACTGAGGCAAGAGGGTTGAGAGTTTGAGGTCAGCGTGGGCTACATAGCAAGATCCTATGTCAAAAACAAACAAACAAAAATTACATACTATTACTGAAATCTAACAAAGACTTCTTTTATAGTACTGGGGATTGAACCCAGGGAGCACATATTCCCAGCCCTTTTTAACTTTTTTTAAAATTTTGAAATAAGGTGTCTCCAAATTGCCCAGATTGGACCTGAACTTGCAATTTCTGTGCCTCAACCTTCCAAGTAGCTAGGATCACAGGCATGCACCGCCACAACCAAATAACAGAGACTCTGCTAAAAAGTCTTTTGTAATAGTTGAACTATCTGGAACCTTTCGTCTTTCTTTCTTTCTTTCTTTCTTTCTTTCTTTCTTTCTTTCTTTCTTTCTTCTTTTTGGTCCTGGAGAGTAGACTCAAGGTCTTTGTACTAATCTACATTCCCAGTCCCCATTTTTATTTTAAGACAAGATCTGGTCTTGCTTAGTCACTAATTTGCACCCCCTGGCTCGAACTTGCCATCCCCTGGGGAATTACAGGTGTGCCCCCACCATGCCTGTTTTTTTAAAAAAAATGGGAATTAACAGGGTGGCTCCAAATGGATAGCCATCTGCGCTGGAAACGTGTGGCTCCCCGCTGCTCTGGGAGCAGCAGCACCTGGCCTATTTAAGGCCCATTTTCTAATTTTTGAACCATTGTGCCCCGGTCCTGCTGTCCCTAAAGCTGTGAGTGACAGAAGAAAGAACGAGTGCAGTGAAGGAGTGTCTCTGGGAGCAGTGAGCAGGATGAACACCACCCAGAACCAAGCAGCTGTGTCAGCAACAGAGAACCCCTTCTGCGGCGTAGTGAGGCAGAGGGACATGGAGCCTGCTGAAGAGCAAATTAAATACAACTTGTCAGAGGTGAAAGCTCAGATTCGCAGCTGCATATGCAGCCATCTGGAAGGCCTTTGGAGCCCTGAGGTGTGGATGTATGAGCAGTTGGACCTCATCCATCAGCTTAACATGGAGAGGCTTCAGCAGCTGTATGAGTTACCAGGCCAGTTCAGCTGTCTTAGTAATCAACTGGAGTGTACCCAAAGCAAAGACCTAGCCAGTCAAGTCCCTGTGTGCCTAGAGGGACTGGGCAGTTTGACCCTAAAGCCTGAAGATTCAGTCTGAAGCTCTGTGTTGAAGTCTGAAGCTCTGCTCTCTGAAGCCAACACAACTGCTGTGCCCCAAACCATCACCATGTTTGAGTCCCTCAAGACCATTCAGATTCCTGAACACTGGATGGCTCATGCTAGTTCAGCAAACACTGGGCCCTTCCTAGGGAACAGAGGTTACATCCCAATGCCAGGGCAAGACTTCGGCCCAAGCCTGCAGTGTCTTTAGTAATGTCTGGGGCAACATAGTGGGCTCAGAAAACTGCCTATTCAAGAGTCAGCTACAAGAAGTTCTTGTGAAACCAAGTTCCCCAAAGTGTAACAGCCATTCTACCGCCAGTTCTTC